ACGTTTGTATGCATATACGTTACAGCAAACATCACCAGTATTGCTAACATGGGCGATGCGGCGTGTAGGGCATGCTATGCACTGTCGGACAGCTCTACAAGGTACACAAGAAGAACTTAGAACTCTCAGTTTTACTCCGCTCTGTCTGGGTGTGTCAGTGGTTTATAGCTGATTCTCACTCAAATCTTGTTCTTACTTCAGAAATCTATACTGATGCACATATACAGGTCGTATTGTGACCATTGGCATACAGTCAGACCTCGCTTAACCGCACACGTCCGTTTTCCACTAAACATATCCGGATAGGCGAGGGAACCGGTTAACTGAATACTGTTTATGTTGGATGCATCACGTGTGCTGTAAATATGTAACCAGCTATTATCTAGCGGATGGCGAGGGATCCGGATAAAAGAGGACCGGATAAGCGAGATCTGACTGTATAACTTATAAGTAAAGGGAACCCAAGAAGTCACACCTCTCAATTTTCTCTTGAAAAGGGCCCACCATCCATTCACACAGCGTTTGTATCATACATTTTTAAAAGCGCTTTTCAGACTGGTTAAATGTTTTTGACCAGGGAGTTGTACGACTCCTTGTTCTTGACCTGCCCAGTACGTAAACCCGTCGAATTAAAAAAAAAATTTTAATGTACAAAATGTACAAAATGAAGAGAGACTGATAGAATACCAAACAGGGGAAATAAATGGAGAATAAAAAGAAAAGAAAAATAGCGAGGCATGTAGTGGCTTTCAGTGCTTCCCTTTTCACGAATGTTCATATGTACTTGGGGCGGATGACATGACTATTGTCACAGGCCCGTCGCACCGACTTTGGAGGTGGGGCGGCCATGGAATGGGGGTCGGGGGGTCCTCCCCCGGGAAAAATTTCAAAAATTGAAGCCAATTGCAAGCATTTCCAGGTATTTGGTGCCATTTCAGTGTACCGTAACTACAATGAAAGTCTTTTTCATTCTGCAACAAACGAAGAAGACGCTACGATCGGGGACAAACATTACCCTCCCCCGGGAAAAAAAATTCAAAAATTGAAGCCAATTGCAAGCATTTCCAGGCATTTGGTGCCATTTCAGTGTAACTGCAATGAAAGACTTTTTTCTGCAACAAACCACGATCGGGGACAAGGATTTTTCACGTTTGCGCTAAGCTGCGATCATGCATTATGCTTGGTTGTAATGTGCTGAGCTCCAAAAAAAAAAAAAGGCCGGAAAAGTGGGGCGGCCTCAGCCGCCCCAGCCGCCCCGGATGACATGACTATTGTAGTTTTCTTCATCCTATCGCCTGTGTCTGAAGTGGCGAGACGTTGGGCGACCCATCTACAGGGTGTGCACTGCTGCTGCTGCTCTGGTTCTTGTGTCTGTGTGGTGTTGGTTCGATGACATTTGCAATCTTGTTTGCGCTTGTCCTCTGTCATGTAGGAACAACTCCAGCGCCTAATGGAGACACTTCGAAACACCAATCCTGACTTTGTGCGCTGTATCATTCCCAATCACGAGAAGAAGGTAAGGACGAAATGGGCACCTGTCTGTAGGCGCCTCATTCTGAATGCCACTTATTGCTATGTGATGCGCTGCATGCGACACCTGTGATGAGCTGCGACCGTGACGATTCACATCATCGTTTGGATGATCAATGTTTTGACAAACTGCATCCGTGTCTGTCTGTCCCTGTGTGAGTGTGCACGTGTATTTTTAACTTCACCCTTATCTGTTCGTGTGTGCACGTCCACCCGTGTATTCCTGTCCACTCAGTCCGGCAAGATCGTGCCGCCGTTGATCCTGGAGCAGCTGCGATGCAACGGAGTGCTGGAGGGCATACGTATCTGCCGCCAGGGCTTCCCTAGTCGTGTCCCGTTCCAGGAGTTCCGTTAGAGTTACGAGCAGCTGCTCACGGCCAACCTGATACGGAAGGGCTTGATGGAGGGACGGCGGTCGGCTGTGATGATGGTGAGTCAAGGATTTATTGTACATGTAGAAACTCATATTACTGTCCGCTCACCTCAATTGTTGTTCTGACCAAACATACATATCAAATACAGGTCTACCCTCGTTATTATGACATTGGATGCACGACAAACCTAGCCAGTAGACAATAGAGAGGTTCTGTCCGCACTATGTAATGTTGAGCAACTTTACGTTAGTGGGCGGGAAAAACCCGTGAATTCGCGAGTTTGCACTCCACTTACGGAAAGTTGTCTACGGAGAGTACTTAGATAGGGCTCTGATAACGTAGGCGCTACGTAAGGCGAGACCAAAATAAAATCGTCATTCCCGGGCAGGACCCATGTGAAATTGGTGCAGGCGGGCGAATTTTTTATTTTTTGTTTTTTTCCAATGTATGCATGCCATGCCATGGGCCGGCCATGCTGAACTTTTTTTTTACAGTATTTTCCGGTAATTTTTATTAACTTTTTTTTACAGAAAACAGGTACGCGGTTTACCCATTCAATTTTTCTGTATTTCGGCCAACAATGGCCCTGATCTGTACATCAGGGAGTCGTACAAGCCCGTTGGTTTGTGTGACTCCACGTCACAAATCTACTCACATGATAAGTACCGTACAGTATATGAACTGTTAAAAAATTGGCTTTGGCTCAATTTTGGTGCGGGAGGGCCCGGGAATCTCAATTTTTTTTTGAGGTACAAATTTACGACTCTCTCCCCAGGTCGATTCGATCGTACACTGCTGCATTCGGAGTCGCCAAGGGCAGCTACGTGATTTGAAAGCACCGGATGACAGAACACAGATGCGCATGCAGTTTGCGTAAGACTTTCCGTAGATCGACTACGTTTTTTACTAACGTAATTGTTATGCGGAACCTCTCTAATGATTCAAAATGCCGACCCGGAACAAGCTTATTTTTAGTTTTGGCCTTACCATAATACCACCATAATGCACGACAGAAATGCGCACTTTGAAGAGTGCCAGCAGATGGATCTAGTTGGCGTGGGTTATTCTTTATCCTGGAGATTCTGATGTACTGTAATAGTAGCATTCTTTTTATTTTCCATTGGAAGCCTCAACAGTGGTGAACACAACAATTTGTTAAAAGAGGACCGATAGCAAAATTGAGGGGGTCGGTCGAGAAAATAATAATAAAAAAGATGGGTTTACTTAGCATTGTGCTGTTGCGTTCTGTTCTGCTGTGCAGCTGGAAGCACTGGAGCTGCACGAGGATCAGTACCGCGTGGGTAACAGCAAGGTGTTCTTCCGCGCCGGTGTGCTAGCCAAGCTGGAGGAGGACAGGGAAAACAAGCTTAGTACCATCCTCACTGCCATGCAGGCACGCATCAGAGGAACTCTCAGCCGCATGTAAGTGTGGGCCCCCGCTAACGCCAAGCTACTATTGTATTGTTATACAGTCAAACCTCGCTTAACCGCACACATCCGTTTTCCACAAAATATCCTGATAGGCGAGTGAACCGGATAATCGAACACACATACTGTATGTGTGCGTGACATATGCTGCGAATCGGTAACCAGCGATTTTCTTGCGGATGGCGAGGGATCCGGATAACAGAGGACTGGATAAGCGAGGTCTGACTTTATTGTATTTTTTTAATAAATTTTACTTGTGCATTCCCAACAGACCCTAACGTCTTCTTACAGGGTGCCCATACAGCCAGTATGCCAGGGGCAAGTGAAAACTGCCGACCTCTGTTTTCTCACACACATGCACGTAGACAGTGTTTTCACATCTGTCACATGACCACACATGTCAAGTGAAATCTGTCAAGGCGACCGCTCCGATAAGGTGACCACCTGTCCCAGAAGACCACTGCAACCAGGACCAAGGGATGCTATTTCCAGTCAAATGACCCTGGATATGGAGACCGCCCTTTTGAAGGTCCCTTGAGCAGTCATCTTAGCCAGGTTTCACTATACGTGGTACCCATATTGGTTACAACTCCACTCAACCCCTGCCACGGCTGTTTTTTTTCGCGATTTTCGCTCACCTAAAATGGCGTCGCTGAAGGGGAAAAAAATCTTGATTTTCGTGATTTGACTTGAGGAAATTGGATGCGTATCTCAATGGATTCGCTTAGAACATGCTCCATTCACTCCGGTTTCGACTGAAGTCTCGATTTTTGGCTTTTGTATCGTCCCAGCTGCGCGTACATGCCTCACACGGTCCACTTCGTTTCATTTTCCTTGCCGATCGAAGACATTTCCCACTCGCTCTCCTGTACGTTGTGTTCCATATTTCCTCAACAGTTCTGGCGTTCCTAGCTCTGTTCCCGGTTACTGATCAACTAGTTCAGTTGAATTTCTCGTTGGTAAGTATCTACGAAGTACATGGAGAAAATCTCATGAGAATCCGTGCACACAGTCCGAAAACCGTGCGTCAAAACAAATTGTAATTTTTCTTTCTTCTCACTGTAGTCACTGTGCACACATGGACGAACACACGCAGCACCTGCAAGAGGTGTGCCGCTTAGGCGGCAGGAAATTCTCTTCCTGTAAGCAGCCAACCCGCTACAGTGTGCAGAAACACGCTGACACTCTCCTGTCTGTCCTAAATGTCAATGTGTCACAGGACAAACAAAACATACATCCTCCGTATATATGCAGTCTGTGTGACAAAACACTGAAAAGAGCAAGTGGCACATCCAAATTCTGTGGTGGTGGTTGTGGTCCTGCCGTGAAATGGCAGCCCCACCACCGCACACACTGTGATTTTTGTTTGAATCACACTGCCAAGACCAGGGGCAAGCATCAGAAGAAGAAAACAGATTTACGAGGTGCGGCAGCGCCAGACGCAGCAGACGCACACAGTGGGCACGCGTGCGCAACACACAAGACAACAAGTGCAACAGATGTCCCAGGAGCATCATCTAGAAATGGCTTGGATACATCAGTGGACAGTGTGCGAGCCATAGCCAGCTGCATGCACAAAGCAAGCGCCGAGCTAACGAAGGAGAGATTTATTGATGAACATGCTATAGAAAAGTGCACTGTATGCAACAATGTTATCGACAATGTAGT